AGACAGAGTTGGAAAGAGCTGCTTTGGAGAGTGGGAAAGTTGCGGCCAAAGGTGGAGAGCATTATGGAGTGAGTTAGATAAAGAGGAATGCAGATTGGGGGAGAGTTGAAGAGTTGGAGAGAGTTGGAGAGAGTTGGGGGCAAGTTGGGGAGAGAGTTGTGAGAGATGTGGAGAGAGTTTGGGAGAGATGAGAGATGGAATAAACGGCAACTGATCACCAACTAGCTTGGCCTTCATTTCTCCTTCATCTACCCATGGCAACAGCCGTCCCTGTGGGGAAAAAGTTTGAGAGCACCTAACATGGGTGGTGAAAGAGAGCCACTGGGAGAGCCCACGAACACCCATTAATGTGTGATTACTCCTAGAGTCGCCCAGGCAAAAAGAGTTTGCACTTTTAAGGTTTTATTTGGTGTGAAAATACCATTCAAGGTAGGATGGAATTAATTCACAAAATTAGCCCTGCCACTGCAATGAATCTTTGTAAAGAGTGGAAGTGCTTCCTTCAACTTCGGGTCTGACTTCTTCTGAGTATTGTCATCAGTGCTAGTATGAGCAAAAATTTTCTACTTTTTGGCATGAGCTCTGAATTATCTAAGCAAATACATCTTCCTCAATATCACCCCCCCAAAATACATTGTGACTTGTTTGTATGTATAGTTCAGATATTGGAGTTTGCATTTTAAATATGATTTTCTTAAAATACCATCTACAACTGTAAAATAGTAGAAATAAAATATCTCAAATTTTAATATTTGTGGTAAACATTAAACATGTCACTCCAAAATAAAGACTCCAAGATAAAAGCTTCAGAACAAAGACAATAGGATTCTAAGATTCTTGTGAAGAAGAGTAAGGTCTAGAACATTATCCAGAAAGTAAGTGCTACTTCACTACCTTCCAAAGAACCTGGGTCATCATTGGCTAAGAAGTCAGATTATCAGAATCAGCCTGAAGAATGCAGAGGGCAGGAAATACATCCTGGTATATCTATATAAAAGAATTTTAAATATTTAGATTTGGGTTAATTTGATATGTACTTCTGACAAGGAAAAGTAAATAGAGTATACCGAATGAAAATGTAAAGTAACAAAATGAATGGTATTATCTATGGTTATCTTTATATGTGTCAACATTTTAAAGAATTATATGCAAACTGTTACATGTGGAAACTTGTATATGGATATTAAGATCAACATAATCACATACAAATGATGTCTCTACAACAAAATGTTACTGCTTATATATGTAAGCAGTACATATATTGGTAAACATTAAACATGTCAGGGGAAGTGGATTATGGCTGTTTGCTTTTTGTTCATCTTTGACAAAACATATGATACATCATGAAACTAAAACACTATGAAACTTAAAATTCTTTTCATTTGTTTTTGGGTCACACCCAGTGATGCTCAGGGCTTACTTTTGGCTCTGTACTCAGGTATCCATCCTAGAGGTACCAGGGATGGAACCCACGTTGGCTGTGAGCAAGACAAGTGCCCTACTTGCTGTACTATCTTTCTGGTCTGTGAATCGATTTGATTTTGAAGGCTGTAAATTAATTAAAAGTATTGTTGAAAGCTAAGGATGTGGCCTAGTAGCAGAGCACTGGGGCTATTAAATGTGAGGTTCTGGTTTAAAAAAATAAAAGAAGTACTGGGGCTGGAGCAATAGCACAGCAGGTAGAGCGTTTGCCTTGCACGTGGCCAACCTGGGTTTGATTCCCAGCATCCCATATGGTCCCCCGAGCACTGCCAGGAGTGATTCCTGAGTGCAAAGCCAGGAGTAAGAAACCCATGAGCACTGCCAGGTGTGACCAAAAAAGAAAAAAAAAGAAGTACTGATTATAAGTTAAAGCAATGGGAAAACACTAAAGTCTACATTGACCATTCTATTTAGAAACTGTAACACTGTGAAAGTCATTTGGGACTAACCACTTATAATAGCTCTGGATTCATACCTGAAGGAAAATAAGAAGAGTAAATAAACTAGAATACAAACTCTTTTCTAAACCTGATATTCTCTTAATCTGCAAAGTCAGATCAAGGCAATCTCTCTGAAATGTTCCACGGTTTAGAGCACACTTTTAAAAAATGATTTCTTTCCATTTTAGCACTGAAACCAACACTACTGTGTTCTATGTGCAGTGCTGCTATACTAGACCCACCTCAGAGGACACCTTAAGTGAGAGAGGACACCTTAGTGGGGGAGGCCTAAGGAACATTCACAGAAAAACTGGGCTATAAAAAACAAAAGGTAAAACATACTTTCCAAAACTGCTCATTTGTAAACAGAAACTCAAAATACAGGGGCTGGAGCAATAGCACCCTAGGTAGGGCATTTGCCGTGCATGTGGCCAACCCAGGTTTGATTCCAGCATCCCATATGGTCCCCCAGCACTGCCAGGAGTGGTTCCTGAGTGCAGAGCCAGGATTAGCCCCTGTATATCGCTGGGTATGACTCAAAAAGAAAAATAAATACATAAAGAACTTTGTCTTCTCCCGATCTTTCCATTTTCTCATGTCCTCTTTTATTTCCTGAAGTAGCATTTTGTAGTTTTCTTTGCACAGGTCTTTTACTTCCTTAGTTAAGCTGATTCCTAGGTAAAAGCATTGTACAAATTCAATGTGATCCCTATTATGATACCCATGACATTCTTCAAAGAAATGGAGCAAACACTCCTGAAATGCATATGGAACAATAAGCCCCCACGAATAGCTAAAGCAATTCTTGGGGGGGGGGGAATGGGAGGAATCAACCTCCCAACTTCAAACTCTACTACAAAGCAGTAATAATTAAAACAGCATAGTACTGGAACAAAGGCAGAGCTGTAGACCAATGGAACAGGGTTGAATATACTGACATCTCCTCCCAAGCATATGATCATCTGATCTTTGATAAGGGAGCAAGAAATGTGAAGTGGAGCAAGGAGAGCCTCTTTAATAAATTGTGCTGGCAAAACTGGATGGCTACATGCCAAAAAATGGGCTCAAATCTCTGCTTAACACCATGTACAAAAGTAAGATCAAAATGGATTAAAGACCTCAACATCAGACCGGAATCCATGAGGTACATTGAAGACAAGGTTGGCAAAACCCTCCACGACATTGAAGCTAACAATATCTTCAAAGATGACATGCCACTGGCCAAGCAAGTGAAAACAGAGATAGACAAATGGGACTATCTTAAACTAAGAAGCTTCTGCACCTCAAAAGAAACAGTGACCAAAATACAAAGACAGTCTACAGAATGGGAAAGGAAATTTGCCCAATAGCATCCAACAAGGGGTTGATATCAAGGATATACAAAGTACTAGTTGAACTCCACAAGAAGAAATCATCCAACCCCATCAAAAGATGGGGCGATGAAATGAACAGAAACTTTCTCAAAGAAGAAATCTGAATGGCTAAAAGGCACATAAGAAAATGCTCTACATCACTAATCATCAGGAAGATGCAGATCAAAACAACAATGAGACATCATCTCACACCACAGACACTGGCCCACATCCAAAAGAACAAAAGCAACTGGTGTTGGAGTGGATGTGGAGAGAAAGGAACTCTCCTTCACTGCTGGTGGGAATGCCGACTGGTTCGGCCCTTTTGGAAAACAGTATGGACGATTCTCAAAAAATTAGAAATTCAGTTCCCATTTGACCCAGCAATACCCCTTCTGGGAATAATCCCAGACAGGCAAAAATGTATAGTCGAAATGACATCTGCACTTCCATGTTCATTGCTGCACTGTTCACAATAGCCAAAAAATGTAAAAACTTCGACTGCCCGAGAACAGATGACTGGTTAAAGAAACTTTGGTACACCTACACAAGGGAGCACTATGCAGCTGTTAGAAAAGATGAAGTCATGAAATTTACATACGAGTAGTACTACATGGAAAGTATCATGCTAAGTTAAATGAGTCAGAAAGAGAGGGACAGATATAGAAAGATTGCATTCATCTGGAGAATATAAAGTAAAAAAATAGGAGACTAACACCCAAGAATAGCCGAGGTATGTACCAGGAAGTTCACTCCATGGCTTGGAGGCCTAGCAGCACATGCTAGGGGAAAAGGCAGCCCAGATAGAGAAGGGAGCACCAAGTAAAGGATGTTGGGAGGATCCTCCCAGGATGGGAGATGCTGAAAGTAGAATATAGACCGAACATGATTGCCATGCAATGCCTCTTTTGCAAACCATGGCACCCAAAAGGAGAGAGGGAACAAAAGGGAATGCCCTGCCACAGAGGCGGGGTGGGATGGGGGAGATGGGGGTGGGGGGGGTGGGAGGGATACTGGGATCATTGGTGATGGAGAATGGGCACTGGTGGAGGGATGGGTACTCCATCATTGTATAACTGAAACCCAGGCACAAAAACCTGTAAGTCCACAACTGTACCTCATGGTGTTTCACTAATAAAAATTAAAAAAAAAAAAAGAACTTTGTCTTTAGGATTCAACAGCTCTCTGCTATTTTCAATCATGCAAATCACACAAATATTTTCTCTTTTTTTTGCCTTTTTGGTCATACCCAGCGATGCTCAGGGGTCACTCCTGGCTCTGCACTCAGGAACTACTCCTTGCCGTGCTTGGGGGATCATATGGGATGCTGGGGGTTGAACCTGGGTTGGCTGCCTGCAAGGCAAATGCTCTACCCGCTGTGCTATCACTCTGGCCCTATACACACAAATATTTTCTAATAAATACATTATCAACTGAAACAGAGAATCTTGCACAGAAGGTAAGAAGTGGGCCTGGCATTGAGGTCTAAGGGACTTATTGGAGCAGGGGCAGAGTGGGTGGGAACAAACACAACAGATATTTTCAGAACATGTAGGAAACTAAAGGAGCAAAGCACAAAGGTAGAGCATGAACCATGAAAAAGATATAGTGTTTCCTATCCAGAAAGGCATTCCCCGAAGGAAAGAAGGAAGAGCGAGAGTTGTACAGCTTAGTTTACCTTTTCAGGTCTTCAAGATGTGGAAGCATGAATGAATATAACAGATACCTGCTTCTTATGGAAATCCTTGAGAGCTGTCTCATAGCCCTCCTCGAGCCTACTGAAGGCTATTCCCACGTCGGTAGTCCACCAGATTTGTGAGCTCGTGAGTGCCACCTGAGCCGGGAAATCAAAAATCCACAGTTCTCGAGGCTTCTCCTCGTAGGCGGCGATGGCTTCCGTGATGGCATGGCGCACCGTTTCCCGCATGGCCTGCTCCAGCCGCAGGAGCCACGTCTCCACCTGTTGAAGCCAAGGAAATGCTGGGGACATGGGCGCAATCCCAGAGTGGGGCTGACTCCGTCCTCTCGTTGGCTGGAAGCCCATGCAGAGAGGCTTGGGGTGGGGCTGAGGTGCTTATGCTAAACACAAGAAGCAAAACCAAGGAAGGACCACATAAAAGAGAAGGTGAATGAACCGACCGATGGCTTTGTCCAAAGGGAACTTGTATTCCCTGGGGATACTGCTCATCTGATTTCTTCTACATATCACTTCCCACACCATTATCAGAGCTGTTCCTGATCATTCTCTTTTCATATTTGAAGACAAGGGAATTTGAGATCAAGATCCACTCTGGTATTTTGAGAAGTGATCCATTATAGACACCAAAAAACAGTTCAAGGCTATTGAAGATATGGGGAACTTGATATTTTGAAAATGTATCAAGGCTGGAGCAATCGCACAGTACATAGGACATTTGCCTTGCACGCAGCTGACCCAGGTTCAATTCCCAGCATCCCATATGTTCCCCTGAGCACCGCCAGTAGTAATTCCTGAGTGCAGAGTCAGGAGTAACCCCTGAACATTGCTGGGTGTGAACAAAAACAACAACAACAACAACAACAACAAAGAAAATGTATCATTTGATAATTTTTAAATCAACTGAAATTTCTCCTCTAAAATCTTCACTGTTCATAATCTTAAGGCAAAGTTTTTCCAGCAAGTACCTTAATTGTATTCCCTACTGGTTCTCATCTTCACACTTGTCAGAAATTAGACAGCAGGAGTGTATGAGAGATAGGACAACTGCTGACTTGTGAAATTTTTAAAAATTCACTTTGTTTTTATTTTCTCCCATAAATACATTTCAGCTAGCTATCATCATCTAAATAGGCTTTATTTACCTATGTTTTACAGGATAAAATGATGCAACAAATCATCTGTTACACTATCTGCTATAATTAACCACGTCAATAATAATAATAATAACACTGTAACAAAGAAATGTCAAGGATAGTAATGAGATGCTGATTCCTAGCCTCAATGAAGACAACAGCAGAACTCCTTCCTAAAATCTCTTTTGACAAGAGGAAAAAAGTATCTTGTGATTTAGAAGCTGAGCACCTTCCCTCCTGAAAGAAAAGGGAAGCAGCATGAGCTCAGGGTTTTTAGGGGGCCCTGCATCTCTCCATCAATGACCACTATGTTCAGTGACACCAGGCAGCCACATCTCTCTTCACCTGTGCATTCCCAGGCATCCTCCATGCACTCTGTCTGGCCACTGTCCCTAGCAGCTAACCAGCCCATTCAGGGAAGCCCAACACACATTTCCACTCATGTTCACATCAGCTATGCCAACAAGGGCAATGCAGAAATATCTAGGGAATTAATCACTCACGAAATACTTGAGTTTTCTTTTTTTTTTTGTCTTTTGGTTCATACCCGATGATGCACAAGGTTTACTCCTGGCTCTGCACTCAGGAATCACTTCTGGCAGTACTCGAGGGACCATATAGGATGCTGGGAATGCCCAGTTGGCCACATGCAAGGCAAATGCCCTACCCACTGTGCTATTGCTCCAGGCCCGAGTTCTCATTTTTCCCCTTCTCATGTTGGTACTGCATAAGCTCCTGCACAGTCCTTTATGCTAACAGTCCTTCCGCTCAGTAACCATGTGTATATCCACTTTCTCAATGAGTTCACAAGCCCTCAGAGGCAGGATCCATGTCTTATTTCTAGATCCCTAAATAATAACGTCCTATTGATAGCAGAGGCATTCAACAAAACATTCAAATAAAGTTGTCTTAATGAGGAAATCAGTGATGAAAGTGCCAGAAGAGAAAAGAACAAAAGCAAAAAACAACTTTTAGGGGCTGGAGCAATAGCACAGCAGGTAGGATATTTGCCTTGCACACAACCAATCCAGGTTCAATTCCCAGAATCCCATATGATTCTCCCAGCACCAGCAGGAATAATTTCTGAGTGCATGACCCAGGAGTAACTCCTGTGCATTGCTGGGTGTGACCCAAAAAGTAAAAACAAACAAACAAACAAATCAACTTTTATTTTTCCCTCGCTCTATATAAGGCAAAGAAACAAATTCTTTCCATAAAACAAAAGGCAATTAGGGAGGCCTGCGGTATGGACTGGAAAGTGCCTAACACAGGCTGCCCAGAGAGAATGGATTCGAGCATTGTAGAAACTGCCCATGGCTGGGCTCTGACCAGGCCAGCATAGTGATAAGCACATCCCTTACTTAGACAGTCCCCCTGCAGGCACACTGCCAGTGCCCAGCCAGCAGTCTGCAGGAAGGGAGGAGATAGCCACACACTCTCCTCAGGAGAGTTTGTGTGGACTTTCTCTAATCACTGCAATGATATCCTGAAAAGCCCAAGAGATCAAAAACCGTGTTTCGAGCCAAGTATTCTACCATTTGCTTTCCTTTCAACTGGCACGGTTTTTTAGGTACAATATTAAAAAGCAACAGAGAGGAATTAAAAAAGAAAAATACAACCCTGGGTTAAAAAAAGAAAAAGGTCACCAACACATTTCTGTCAGGCACTTTAGAAGGATCCCCTGACTCAACTAAAGGTTCTCTAAGAGGGGTCAGTGTTTCTCCTGTCTTGGTGCCCCTATGGCTCAACCCACAATAGATAAGCCTCATCATATAGAGATGCATTTCCTCTACTGCGGTGTTTCCCAAGTGGGCAAAACTGCCCCCCCCAGGGGCATGGGATGGTGGGTGGGGGAGAGGAAGACAGCAGCCAGAGGTGCAAAGAGGGACTGCTGTTTGTTGACTTAAGGTAGATTTGGGGTCAGAAATAGTACAGCGTGGGCAGGGTGCTTGCTTTGCATGTGGTCAACCCCAGTTAAATCCTTGGCCCTCCATATGGTCTATGAGCAACACCAGGAGTGATTCCTGAATACAGAGCCAGGAATATTCCTGAATACTGCCAGAAGTGCCTCAAACAAACAAACAAACAAACTACACAAGTCTCATTTAAAAAAAAAAAAAAAAGATGCAATTCCTTAAAAGCAATGTTTCCTGGTGTGGGCAATATTGCCCCTCTGGGGGGAGCTGTTATGATGCAGGATAAAGCCAGAAGGAACCCTCAGGTGCAAGAAAAAGATGCTTTGTGTCCAGTTAAAGAAGGTAGATGTGGGGCTGGAGCACTTCTTATGGTTTTTGAGGCTGTTGGCACAGGTGGGGGGGCAGGGGGGAGTGGGGCAGGGGGAGTGACTAACCGATCCACCTGCGCACACAGCAGTTCAGGTAGGGAACATCCACGTGTACGCTCAACGGACTCTCCTTCCCAACAGCCTCTTCCTGCATTCACATCACAATCTGTCTCAGGGGACACTCCTGACCCCTTTCCCTCAAGGTCAGCTATACCCTCCCACTGGCCCGCACTCAGCACCCTGTCCCAACACACCACTCTGGAGGAAACTCAGCCACTGGGTTTGGATGACAACTGACTCTGAGACCCGCTCACTCCATCTGTGATGATCCCTCTGGTCTGTGTTCAAGTAAATAACAGCCTCTCTGCAGACTGTGAGAGCAGACAGGAGGATGTTCACCACACAAAACCAACGTGCGGATGATCTCAGCATGAATTTTGGCTGGTTCAATTCCAGTTTTGAAAAATATCTCCCCAAACATCTTCTAGCACAAAGTCCCACACTGGACTCTTACGTGGCCTTGGCACTCGCATTGTGTCTGGAATGAGACATACTCCTTTTCTTTGCTGTACATCCCGACAGCTCGGTGCACGGAGACGTCTGGGTCATCTTCAAACTGCAAATCTGCCAGACTGTCGAAGAGCTTAGCAAGGTGACGTGTGACCTAAGATGACATCAGTAGGAAAGAAATTCTTACCCAAGAGGCATTCTGCAGTCCATAAAGGCCACTAGACTATTGCACCCAAACATTCTTGAGTTCTTCACTTACAGTTGTCACAAAACATCTTTAAACATGAAAATCCCTTCTGAAATCCCAAGTTTGAAATGAACTTGACCAAGAAGTGGTCAAGTCTTAGGTACTTTCTCAAACACTGCAGAATTAACACTCATAGATACAATGACCTCTTGGCTTCTTGAAGGCTGGAGACGTATCAGTTTCACTACTGTGCCCTATTCTCATGGGCAGTCATCCTGCTGAGAATTTTGTGATCACATTTTTCAAATTCATGCTTACAGGGCCAGAGAGATAGTTCAGTTGGTAGGGAACTTGCCCTTGCATGGGGCTGATTGAGATCTGATGCCTGGTACCACACAGTTACCCAAGTGCTACCTCCTTATACAGGGTCCCCCAAAGCTGCTGAGAGAAAACATTTGGCAGCTCCATCAAATTACTTCACAAAGATATCATGGGTAACAATAGTATTGATATTATATTGACAATGCTACCTTACCATGCCTATCATCAAAGTGTAAATATCTCCCATCAGTAGCTCAAGGTTCCTTTTTCCATGACCCCCACTCTCTTGGTAGCCAATTTTTCATTTCTGTTGGCAACATCTTAGGGTTTATTTCCATGGGTCACGAACTAGTCCCTTTATCGTCTTGTTTTAATACTCCCCACATAATTGCCATGATAGGTATCTTTTTCCTGACTCATTTTATTTTGTATGGCACCTCCAACTCCACCCAAACTGAAGTAAAATGTAAGATTTCCTTTTTCTCATAGCCAAGTATGTATACACACATATGTGTGTGTGTGTGTGTGTGTGTGTGTATACAGAGTACAATTCCTTCATTAACTCATCTTTTGTTGGGCCCTGAAAGGCACTACGTCCCCTTAACTTACTCTAAAAAGCTATAGTAATCAAAGCTGTTTTATACTGAAATAAAGATAGAATCTCAGATCAGTGGAATACAACTGAGAGTCCAGACTTAAATTTTCAGATCTATGGGCAGTTAGTTTATGATAAAAGGGCTAGATACATTAAGTGGAGCAAGGAAAACATCTACAAAAAATGGTGCTGGGAAAACTTGTTGGACTCATGAGGAAAAAAAAAGAAGGAAAGAAGTAAAATTAAGAACTAGTCCTCTAGCTCATATACAAGAAATGAACAGCACACCAAAGAACTATGGGATGAGTTCAAGAAGAACAACAGGCATAGAGAGATTGTATTTATCTGTGGGATTTTTTTTAAAGTATGAGACTAATACCCTTATACAGTAGAAAGAAGGGCCAGAGGACTGGTCCATGAATGGAAGTTTGCCACAAGTTGGAAGGGCAGGGGGAGGGTAATTAGGATAGAAAAGTGCCACCATGACAACGATAGTTGAAAATGATCAGTCTGGACAAGATCTGAGTGCTGAGAGTAGGTAAAAAGATATACATGATAACCTATCAATACCTATAATGCGACCATAATGCCCAGAAGGAAAGAGGGAAAGAAGAAAAGTGCCTGTCATGGAGGCAGGCTGTGGCGGGGAGGTGATGGAATGGGCAGTGGGAAACAGAAGACACTGGTGGTGGGAAATGTATACTGGTAAAGGAACGGGTGTTGGAACATTGGATGAGTGAAATCCAATTACGAACAACTTTGTAACTGTGTACATCATGGTGATTGGGAAGGAGGGAGGGAAGGAGGGAGGGAGGGAGACACTTAAGCAGTATGTATATTTGTAATTTTATAGGCCTGTTTAGATTTCCCCCCTTAAATTTAATTCTCTTCACGCTTACTAAATTTTTCATTTGTAGATTTTTCCTATTTTGTGTGAATTCTAAAATGTATTAGTACAGTTTTTTTTTAAAGTTTTACAGACAGGTAAGATATGATAATTACCACAATGAGATCCAAGTACAAAATAAAATTTAATGCAATACATTTTAGATATCAGAGTTGTAAAGCTATTTATGTAAATGAGAATAGGCATTCTATTGTATTAAATGCCTCAACTGTATTCACACATATTAAAATCATAGCAATCAATAACCACAAATTAACTCTGATTGATTTATTATCTGCTAATTCCATTTGCCATTCCTTTAACTTTTGTTGAAGCAAGCAATATGAAATAAATTTGTTATGTGCCTGGTAAGGAGGCAGGCTAGGGCCAGGGGGAATCTGGGGACACTGGTGGAGGGAAGGTGACACTGGTGGTGGGATAGTGCCGGAACACTGTGTGCCTCAGACAACTCTATTTTGAACAACTTCATAAATCATAGTATTTTAATAAAAATAATATTTTTTGAAAACCAGGACTGGCTTCTGGGTCTGCTTCCTCTGCTGCTTCTTCCTCAGTCTTGCCCAGCCCTGACAGAACTCAACTCAACTCCGTTCTTCATACTAGGTAGTCAACACTTCTCCAGCTTTCAACTTTTCCCTAGAAAATGTGGATTTTTGTCTCATTTATTTTAATTGAAACACTCACTCTTGCATGTCCTCAACTAATTGCTTGCATTTTGAACCTTTTCCTCTAATTGCCTTAGGAGAGTAATAGTGTCACGAAAGGTGGTAAAATATTTCTGTGACTGGTAAGCTCCATCATCTTAATTCTTGAAATTCATATTCTGAGACACATTCATGCCACCATTAGGATAACCAAATGGAAGTATTCTAGGGTAGCATACTGCGCTCGTGGGACTGTGGACTCCTAGAGACATCCCCCTTTGAGTGCCAACGGTGCTTTTAATCACCTAATACTAAAGGCTGTTTCTCACAAGCACCTTTCCAAGTGCCAATATTTACAGTCTATTAGAGGCACCCATTTAGGACCATCTGTCTCATCACTGCAACTTTAGGGACTTCTCAAAAGACAGGTTGGCAGGTTTCCTCCTGCACTGATTTGGGCAGATGCCACTGAAGGCCGTTTCTGGATGCCAACATCAAAATATTTCTGAGCATATATTCCTGATGTCGGCATTTGAGGGACAGCATGTTGGCTTCAATTTCCACAACATGCTGTCTAGTAGACAAGTTCAAGTAAGTAAAAAGAGACAGGTGAGAAGAATTTTAATTTTACTTGCCCATGTCTATCCACAGTATTTCGCTTCAACATATGATTAATCGAAACTGAGTCATCTCACATTCTTTTATTCACGATAAGTCTTGAAAATTGGGAAAACTTTTTCATTAGAAATAAATCTATATTTAGATTTCATGTCCTTGCAGAAGTAGATGCACCGTGTTGTGGAAGCACACTAGTTACATCGAAATCAATGAGAAATTTACTTAAGGGAAAAACGTGACTTTCTCAGTTGCCACATTTGAATTACTCAACTGCACCCAGTGGTTCTGGGCCAACCATTTAGCCAGCACAAAGGCAACCTATTGTTAGGACCTGCTTAGCTGGAGAACTGCCATGATAGGCTCTTAGTGACCTAGGCTTCTTCCAGGAACAAGAAAAGCAGAAAAACCAGATGCTTTTGTCAAAGATTATATCCCCGGAATGAGATTAGATCTCTGGAGTATAACTGTCAGGGAGTGGGCTTGATGCTGCGGGCCAAAACAACAACACAAAAATATGTGTACTCTGTAGGTAATAGAAATTTGCTGAGTAAGGCTTACTTGCCAAAATGAAAGTATCAGAACTTGCTGAACCTAGTTCTCAGGGTCCTTGTTGAAACATGCTACACCGGGCGGACACTTGAACCCCAGCTAGCTAGAGCAATAAACCTCGCTATGTGATTTGCATTATCGGCTCTGTTCTCTGTCCTTGAGGGGTGGTCGACTCCGGACTCTAACACTATAACACTGAAAGTTTGTCTTCCGTTAACAGAGCTCAGCTACAGAGAAGCTTTCACTTGTCATGGTATACAGAAAATGGAGAGAAAATAAACTCTTCAAATGCAATAGGATTTTTTTTTCAAGTCACTTGGAACCAGTGATTGAAAACATCTCAGCTATCCAAAGCCATCAGGCACAATCAGGCTCTCCACACTACTGGAAAGGGGTCCACTGGTGTTCCTCTAACTTTAACCACAGCATACATTCACACAGAACTTCCCTAAGACCCTGTGTTTCCACTCCTGGGCATCTTATCCAAGGACACAAAAGCATTACTCTTCTGAAAAGACATGAGCGCCCAAAGGTTCATCACAGCACTATTTATGGCAGCCAAGATATGGGAACAAGTCAAGTGCCCCATTACAGATGAACAGCTAAAGAACTTTTGGGATAGCTACACAATGGACTACTACTCAGCTATGAGAGAAGAGGAAATTTTGCAGTTTGTCACAACTTTCATGGAACTGGACAGTGTCAAGCTAACTTAAGTGAGTCAGAAACTAAAGAAAAATACCAGATAGCTTTGCTCGTATGTGTAATACAAAGAAAGCAAAAGAGAGAATCCCCGATGGCAACAAATAATGAGACATGATCAATAGAACTGGAAACTGCGGAAGGGGTGGAGGAATATTAATAATGCAAGGACTAGTGTAGTAGCTCTACAACCACAAAATAATGACTTCAATGTAATCATAAACTCTGATACATCTATTTTTTAAAAATAAGATAAAAATTTAAAATATTTTACTAAAATTTTTTTAAAGAGGCCCTCCTGTTGATCGTCGATTTGCTCGAGCGGGCCCAGTAACATCTCCATTGGAGACTTTGTTGTTACTGTGTCTGGCATATTGAATACTCTCGGTAGCTTGCCGGGCTCTCCGAGAGAGGCGGAGGAATCGAACTCGGGTCGGCCATGTTGGCCGCTTGTAAGGCGAACGCCCTACCCGCTGTGCTATCGCTCCATATTTTACTAAGGAAAAAATAAAGAATATTATTAAGGACATATCATTGTATTGGGGATGGGGGGATAGGATGGAGCAGGGGAAATCAGGGTGTCACAGGCATATGAAGGGAAGTGACACTGACTGAGGGAGTGTTAAGAATG